GGGAGTCTGCTTCTCCCTCTGACCCTCCCCCCTCTCATGCTCTCTCTATCTCATTCTCTCTCAAATGAATAAATAAAATCTTTAAAAAAAAAAAAGAAATTAGTTGACTAGGGGATGAAGAATTCACACGTGGAAGGCAGGACCATAGTAGGTGTGATGATGATGCCTAAACAGCTAATAATTACCAAACATTTATTTGTGTGAGGCCCTATTCCAAATGCTTAACGTGTATTATTTCTTTTAGTCCTCACAGCTGTGAAGGGTTGGCATTACTACCCCCACTTTACATATGAGAAAGCTGAAGCTTAGGGAAATTAAATAACTTGCCTGTGGTCATACAACTAGTGAGATTCAAGGCTGGGATTCCAACCCAGTTCTGTCAGATGCCCAAGCCCATTAGTGCTATAAACCATATGTCTTAAAATAGCAACTCCTTCTTCTGTGACCTATTTTTAACCACAGTTTGTATGAAATTAGATTAAACTTGATTTTTATTATAATGTCTTCCATGGTAAATCTATGTATTTCCATAATACAAAAATTAGGTTCCCCATTTAAAAAATAGGAAAAGGACATGAATGGCCAAATGAAAAAAAAATTAAGTCAAATACTAAATTTCAGATATTTAAAACTAAAGGGAATTTAATTCAATTCAAGAAAGAGTAACCAAGTGATACACTGTACTAGGCACTTTAAAGTATTCAAAAGTTAAGATAGTAGTGCTCCTGATCCAAGAAGCTAGTGATCTAGTGGGAGAAACATAGTGTAATATTTCAGTTCTTACTTCAAATGTCATCTCCTAAGAGAGATCTTCCTGGACCTCCCTATCTAAACTGTTGCCCCATTCCCTGTTACCTTCTATCACAGGGGCTAGCAAACTTTTTTTTTTCCTGTAAAGGGCCAGAAAATAAATAATTTAGCCTTTCTGGGCTATATGGTCTCTCTCAAAACTACCCAACTCTGCTGCTATAGCTCATAGCAGCTAGAGATCACAAATAAACAAATGAGCATCCTGTGTTCCAATAAAATGTTATTTACGAAACGGGCAGTGGGCCAGATAGAGTTCACAGGCTGTAGTTTGCTGACCTGACCCTACTCTAACATATCACTCTGTTTTTTCTTTCATATCACTTAACAAAATCTGAAATTATCCTGCTTACTGATTTATTACTATTATTTACTATTTCCCTCCACAAAAATGGCAGCTCCAAGAGAGCAAGGTCCTTGCAGCTTGTTCACAGCTGGTTCTCCAGGGTCTTCGAAAGGGGTTCCTGACACATGCACAGCTCCCTCTAAAGATCTGTTGATTGACTAAATGAATGAGTACTATTTCACAAAAGGAGAAACAATGATTGCCAACAAACATATAAACTATATTTGGCCAGATTATTAATAAATATGAAATAACTGAAAATCTCATTTTTTTTTCCACTTAGCATGCCTGGAATGGTTAGCAAAAGGGAAGGACAAAGACAAGAAAGAGAGGGAAAAGAAGGGGAAAGGGAAGAGAGAGGGGAAGTAGGCGGGGAGAGCCTGTGTAGATGAATATGTGGGGAAACTGACCCTCTCATCTACTGCCAATGAGAGAGTGTAGATCCCAGGGGAATTGCGAGCAAACTCTTGTACACCCACGTTCATAGCAGCATTATTTACAACAGCCAAAGGGAGAAATGACTCAAACGACTCCCTACAAAAGAATGCATAAACAAATGTGGTACATCCACAGAGTGGAGTATTATCAAGCCTTAAGAAGGGATGTAGTGATACATGCTACAAGAATGAGCTTTGAAAACACTGTGCTGGGCGCCTGGGTGGCTCAGTTGGTTGGGCGACTGCCTTCGGCTCAGGTCATGATCCCGGAGTCCCGGGATCGAGTCCCGCATCGGGCTCCCTGCTCAGCGGGGAGTCTGCTTCTCCCTCTGACCCTCCCCCCTCTCATGTGCTCTCTCTGTCTCATTCTCTCTCTCTCAAATAAATAAATAAAATCTTAAAAAAAAAAAAAAAAAGAAAACACTGTGCTAAGTGGAATAAGCCCACCACACAGGATCCTATGTATGACTCCACTTATGTGCAGGTATCTAGAATGGGCAAATAGTACAATAGAAGCAGAAAGTAGAATGGAGGCTACCAGGAGCTGGGAGAAGGAGAAGACGGAATGGGGAGTTACCATTTAATGGGCACAAAGTTTCTGTTTAGAATGGTGAGAAATTCTGGAGATGGATGGCGGAGACGGTTGCACAGCATTGTGAATGTACTTAATGCCATTGAAGTGTGTATGTAGAAGTGTTTAAAAGTATGAATTTTATATTATGTATATCTTACCATAATAAAAAAGTATATACACTTTTTTTACTCCAAAAATGTACCCCTAAGAAATAACTCTGAGGAGGTAATACAGAAGGGTGAAATATGTATATGCTAGAATCCATCAACCTCAAGATTCAAGAATAAAGATCTAGTTGTGTAAATAGAGCCTGACAAAAAATATACAAAAGAGGCTATTATGCAAGCATTAAACATGACAAAGTAGACTTTCCACATAAAAGTATCTCCATAACACTATTGTTAAATAAAAAAAAAAACAAGCTACAGAATGCATGTACAGTAAATCCCATTGATGTAAAAATTCTAAGGTTTATCTGTAAAAATTCTAAGGTTTATCTGTACATGGAAAAAATTTGAGTTATTCTCCAAAATGCCCGTAGTTGATTATTCTCTGAATAGTAGATTTGAGATGATTTTAAAATTATCCTCTTCATAATTCTCTGTACTTGATTTTTTAACAAAGAAGATTTTTAACCAAAATAACATGCTATTATAAACTCCTGTTTATCACTTCTTCACATTAATTAAGGAGGGTTAGGCTCTTGATACTTTCATAATAGATGTTTTCTGTATTTCCGTTTCCATAGCAACAGTAATACTTGTGAGAGAATCAGATACATTTTCAAAAAGATACGTACCTCAGACAATGGTATTACATCTCCATCAGTCAAAAACAGATTGATTATTTCAGAGCAACATTCAATAATCATGTTCTAGAAATAAGAAAACAATAAAGTGAGGTTGAACTTACTGGTAAACTACTAGATATTTTAGTTATAAACTATTTCATTTGTCTTTTCTTGCATCACCACCTAACCCTCATTCCCAGGAGAAAATTTAGAGGGACTCATAGGTCACAATCCTTCATATAATTAAGGTTATTTGAAAGGACACAGGACGGCCACAACAGATAAGATTTACTTATGAATGATACATTATTTCATTGTTAAAATTCATATGTTACAGAATTCACACCAGAATAAGGTTTTGGAAAGTCACTTTTCTTCTGAGAAGAGAACATGGGGATAAAGAGATTCAGACCCCAGGAAGGGATTTAAGCAGAGAAGAATGGTTCAGAATTGAGAAAGAAATGGAGAGAGTAACTGAAAAGGAACCAAAAGTCCGTATCATACGTTGTCCACTGGCATAGCCCTACTGTGTGGGCACAGCCATGTTTACGTGTGGACCTCTGACCGCAGATGGATCTACCCATGGGCAGGAGTGAGTCAGTCAGATTCTCTGTCATCGTAATTTCATATAAGGAAGGGCAAGAGAAGAGAGCTAGAGTGAGTACTGTCTATAGGAGCTGCAGGTCCTGATACAAACGTGGAAAAGGCAGCCATTGGGCTAGATGTAAGATGAGTAAGAGAAGGGAACAGATGTGTGAGAACTTACACCCCGCCACCCCCTCCCCGTAATTAAGCACCGTCTTGGCTCCCAACTCACCAGTTCCATTTTTCTGTGAGGCCCATTGTGTTTGGTTTCCAGTCCTTATGTATGAGCTTTATCATACCCTGTCACATACTGCCTTCCCCCACACCTACTTTACTTGAACCAGTGTAAGTAGCCTTTCTTTACTTACAGCTAAAGGAGTCATGACTATAAGACCGTCAGAGAGAACCTCTGCCTACTTTGTGATGTTGCCAGGTCCAGCAACAATACACTTTTATGGTTGTTTAATACACACGTGTACCAGCATTCAGAAATATGAAAATGATAAAGTTACACTAGTTTTTAAAATCTTAAAATACAGAAACAAACAATAGAATTCACAGCCCCAAACCATATTATATTCAAGTTTTAATAAATACATGAATACAGAAAAGATCACATTTTAGAGTTCCAAAGCTATTGCTAATTCAATTTAACAAATATATTCAAGATGCTATGGAACACAAAGATGAAGAAACAGACCCTATCCTCACAAAGTGTACAATAGCTGAGAAGAATAGATTCGTACACTCCTAAATAAAATATGAAGTAGAATGTGGTCAGAACATGGATAGGAATATGTTAGAGGAAACTAGAGGTGGGAGAGAGGAAGTGTAAGGAACAGGGAAGACTTCTTGGAGGAAGGGTCATGTGAAATGAGCCTTGAATGAATAGTAGGATTTCACTGGCAGAGAATGGGGACAAGGGCATTCCACATGGAGGAAGAACAGTGGATATTCAAGGATCTGATATGGTCATTACTGTGGGTGTGTATAGGAAGCATGGCAGTGAGAGTGATGAGAAATAAGGCTGGAGAGGTGAACTTATAACAGGACATGTAAAAGTAAGGAAACTGAGAGGCACTGGTCTGAGGAAATAATGATCCAATTGCTTTAAAAAAGATACTTCTGGCCACAGTTTTAAGGTGAACTGGGCTCAGAAAGAGACAAAAGAAAGATAAATTAGCTAGGAGGCTACTCAAACTGTTTAGGCAGGAAGTGATCATGGCGAGAAGTGGGCCAGCTTCAGTGGGACCAAAAAAGGTGGAGGGCAAGCAGGGTATCCAGCACTGATCAGGGTATACTACTTTGCTATGATGAACCTCCCAGGCTCTTGGTCCACTTTAAGACAGAAAGGATACTCCTCTGTCTGAACACTGATACTCCTCTTATTTATCTATATTTCTAGATTTCTAATCGAGTTCTCAGGACTGGTTGCACTCTGATACTCCTCTTATTTACCTATACTTCTATATTTCTAATTGAGCTCTCAGAACTGGTTAAAGTATATTTCCTCCCTATAGGAAAGGTTTCAATAACAGCCATGATGCGTTACTGTCATGATTTCATCAAGAGCTATCAAGCAAAATGAGACTGTCTATATCATTAATCATTTCACGTAACAGATGAAGACAGCAATGTTACCTGATAAATAAGTGCCTTCTGCTCCCTGTCTCAACATTTATCAAGCAGAAATTTCACCTCAACAACATCCTATTTCTTTGGCATTATTTGCAGTAAACCATTACAAATATCAGACGTTGGCTGATTGGATGCTCGGCTACCACAGAAATGTAGCCTTGAGCTCATCACACCAGGCAGAAAGCTGCCAGAGGTATACTATGCGTGACTGGCAAGGGGCTGGGAGGACACAGAATAACCCTTGCTCGATCTTTGCCATTTTTCCCTTAAAAAGGAGCATCTGATGATTCTATGATGGTTTTCTGAGTTACTTCAAAAATAACCATGCCGACTCTTTGACTTAGTTGAAATCCTCATCTTCTTTCACCTATGGAAAAAAAACTTCCTAAATTGTTTTCCATCCTCCAAACTCTTGCTTCCCTCATCCCTCCCTCACATGCCACCAGGGCCACGCCACCCCACGTCTCAGGAAATCACAGGGTGGATCATGAGAAGTCCTTCCAGGTGCTGCCCCCTCCCTCTCCTACCACCCGTACCCAGCCCTGCCTTCTCCTGGCCCTTGCTCTACAGAACAAAGTTCACTCACCATTTTTTCATTCGATGCCTACGATATGCATCCTAAGTGCCATAAACTGGTAATGAAAAGACAAAAAGAGAGTCCTTAAGCAGCTGATTGATGGTCTAGTGGGAAGAAAAGGAGAGATGGACTCTTAACAGTACCATGTGGTGACTCAGAGAGGAGGAAGCACTTCGTTCCACCCACCTCTTCAACCCCATCTCCCACTGCATTCCCCCGTTCTCCCACCACAACAGATAGCTCATTGTCCCGAGTAGAACATTTAGTCCCTGACTTCACATCCCTTCTCTTGCTGTATCCTCAGTCTGCTATGAGGGCCCTCCAACTAGAAGCTTTCCAAGCAAGTACTCGAGAGGCACTGTGTGTCAGGCGCTAGGTTAGATATTGGAGATAAGATGATGAATAAGACACCCAGCAAAGGAATTTGCAGTAAAGAGAGAGGAAGAGAGCCATAAACACATAACTGCCAAAACAATACAGTAAAGGTACAGGGTGTTTGGAGGTATTTTGTCAGAGAGCCACATGTGGATGTCAGAGAGATACTAAAGAACACGACAGTTGGGGAAAAGATTTAAGAGAAGTTTTGCTATGTATTATGAAAGGATTCCCTGTAATGGTTTATGTTCTTATGAGAGACTCCATAAAGACTTAGATTATTTTCAATGGTTTTGAACATCAGATTGATGTTTCTTTGAATTTTGCTAAAAGAGGACCACCAGGTGGCTGGGCTCATTATGAATGACATCTGGGTACTTATGGCCAGACTCATACAATGATTAAGCTCCTCCATGACAAAGACCTAATTGTACTGATTTCTGTTATGTCCTTATCTCCTTCCCAAGCCTGGAAAATTTTCGCACATAATACTTCCTCAAAAAGAATTTGTTAATTGATGCTAATGTCCAATTGTATTTTTTTCTGTTTTCATAGTACTTTGATATTTGGGATATGTTGACTATATACTAATCTTTTTTAAGATTTTATTTTGAGGGGTGTGGCAGAGGGGGAGAGAGAGAGAATCTTAAGCAGGCTCCATGCCCAGCGCAGAGCCCAACATGGGGCTCGATCTCACAACCCTGAGATCATGACCTGAGCCAAAATCAAGAGTCTGACGCTTAACCGATGGAGCCACTCAGGCACCCCGACTATATACAAATTTTAATTGCCTTGGTACAATCCAGGCATCCCATAAATGTTTGCTGAACTAACCTTAGGTGAATTGGTAAACATATTTTTAGGCTTTTCATATCAGTATGCTATCATTCCAAACAAGGTGTTTGTCTCTTAAAGTCAGGATTGTTTACATCTTTCATATGCTTTAAAGTCCCTGGTAAGCTCTGAAGATACTCCTAAAGCTATGAATGACAGGTTAAAATAACTCAGTCATTCTGAGTCAGTGTTGTTCATTTTAGAAGGACATACATAGTTTTCAAGCCAGAAGTGATTAGAATACCTGTTCTATAACCCTCTCTATACATCTTAAATTAATATCTGTGTTCTGAATTTCTTAGCTTATTCCAGACTATAGGCTTTTTTTGGGGTGGGAGGGGGTAAAAAAGGGAAGGGAATAAGAAAGAGAATAAGATTCATTATTCCCCCATATCAACCAAAGGCACATTTTCTGGGCCCTTCTACTTAATAACCCACCAAAAATCTATACTGTGATAGAAATAAATATAATAGATTATAGAGGTTATGAAATCCTGTCCAATTCCAGACCAGAATCAATCTCTTCAAGTGCCCTAGTTAACTTCTTATTAGCGCCAAGTGAAGGTTGTCATGACAACGAACCGGCAGATTTAGTCAATGAGATGTGTTATAACACAGAATATAGCTGCCCTTTTTTAAGTTCCAGTTGGCATACTGGAAAAAAAGAAAACTTTATATATTCCTTCTATTTCTCAACGTTTCAAATGTTCTGAACTACTCTGTTTGCCAATTCACCTAAACAAATATCAATTTCCATTTGATGACATTCTCTCATACATAGAACCAACAGAACTGAAACATAGCTGAAATGCCCTACTTAAAGCTGAAGAAACATTTTCTAAATTGAAGAATAAGACAAATTCAAAGACAGAGCAGAGAACATCAGGAATGAAAGCAGTTTGTTTTACTCAAGGACTGATCCACTCACATATACCATTCCAGTTCGGACATGAAAGCAAGCCACAAACCGTGTTTAAGTCAAGGTAGGGCCTCTGGACTCCTCCCTCTGCTGACATTCAAATGCTCCCCCATACCCCCATTTATTTGGTATTTGTTTATATTCATAGTCAACCCCTTGACTGAGACACTGGGCTCATTGTGATAAATTTGATACCCACATCGGACACACAGGGAAATTCTGATGACTCACATTCCAACCATGGGGCACAACTCTCCATCTCCATTTAATGAAATGATCATTTTTAGAGATGAGAAGAAAATTAATCCCAGAAAAGTTTAAGTGACTGACCCTAGGTAGGAAAACTGAGTGGCAGAGCACAACCTAGACTCCCCGCTTTTATGGACGCTCACTCTCCTGCCTCAGACAATCTAAGCTGAAAAAACAAATGGGTTTCCATATATGAACTATCTAGAAGTGGATTCAGGGACAATTTCAGCAAAGAATATTCTAGACTATGGCTCAAAAACAGCAATCTGATATGTTTGGTCTACAACTGAAAAACTGTGATTATTAAGTGATCTACAAAAGAAGTGCAAAAATGACACCAGAACTGAGTTCTTCTTGAAAACAGATGTAAAAGGGCAACCATACACTTTATAAAAATATGTATGTTATAATTATTATTTTATAATACATATAATCTCATGGGTTTGAGATATCTGATCTATTAGGAGATTATAAGTACTCAGTATATCAGTAATACCATGAAACATCCAGTAATTCATATAGTAACATACAAAGACACTGAAAAGATTTTTGGGATGTACAACCCAAAATCTAAGACATCAGTTCTATGATAAATCCAAGCACATAGCAGAGGAGTTGTAAGTATGGGAAAGTGGCATTCCACAAAGGCTAACTGTTCTTTCCTGATGAATCCTCTTACAGCTGCGCTTGTTGCTTTCACAATAATGAAAAATGCATTCACTCACTCTACTGGTAAATTCAGGCTCAAAATGCAAAGAAGTAAACTCTAAAAATCAGGAGAGTTGCCAACTTTTATGCTTTCATATGAGTGCACAGATGAGGAAAACGGTAAAAAAGGGCTAAAGCTACACTGAAACTAACATGACATCGTGTGTCAACTATACTTCAATAAAAAGAAAAGGTTAAAATGGTAAAAAACAAAAATTAGAAAAAAGACCAAAAAAGAGCTAAAGCAATACTATTCTTTAAGAATTAAAAATGTTGGGCGCCTGGGTGGCTCAGTTGGTTGAGCGACTGCCTTCGGCTCAGGTCATGATCCTGGAGTCCCTGGATTGAGTCCCGCATCGGGCTCCCTGCTCGGCAGGGAGCCTGCTTCTGCCTCTGACCCTCCCCCCTCTCATGTGCTCTCTCTCTCTCATTCTCTCTGTCTCAAATAAATAAATTTAAAAAAATAAATAAATAAATAAATAAAAATGTTTTGCTATTGGTAATTGAATATTAACCTAGCAAAAAGTGAATTGAGGAAAAAAGATACAGCAGACCAAATATGAAGGGAAGATCCATCCTAAAAGCTTGCAGAGAGGAAAAACAGAGCCGGGCCCCAACCGGCTGGGAGTTCAACCAGGAAAGCAGCAAAGGGAGGTCCAGAATTAGAGCTGTGTAGCAGGCACTGTTGGGTAGGCAGTCCTCAGCTAAAGCAGAAGAAATAAAGGAACTGAGACATTATTTGATAAGCATGAACACTTGGGTAAAAATCTATGGGTGAACATATGAAAATTCTGATGTAATGGTCAGAAGAAAGTTAAGGAAAAAAGACAAGTCAAGAAGAATCAAAGCATATACAGAAGAAAGTTAAGGAAAAAAGACAAGTCAAGAAGAATCAAAGAATCAAAGCATAAAGAAAAATAACCTTAGTACACTATCTGACTTGGCTGTAATAATGTAAATACTGAATATCGATTTAACCAAACTCCGTGATGTAACAATACCCGGGAAAGGGGAAAGGAGAAGTTGGGGAGAAGTATAAGTGAATTAAATCCTTATATATCATAATAAAATCAACAGATATTATCTCAAATTGATACATCCAAGAAAAAAAGAATAATCATTTGTAACTTCTAGCACTGTTCATCAGTATTTCTGGCTTTTCTCCTTCAAGCCGTAGCATGTGACTTATTTGGCCGATGAAATATAGTAGAAGTGATATGACGGAAACCTTAAGAGCTAGTGTGTGATTTGCCCCCTTTCTTGCCTCCTGCTACTGTGACTGGTGATATTTCATATGATGGATGTGCCACCAGCCTGGTTGCTGGCCTGAGGAGACATGGAGCAGGGCTTCAGTTGTCCCACTTGGATTCGAAGGCTTTTACCACGTTTTCATGACTGATAATACATATTACTGTACGCCTGGAGGTAAATAATGAGAAACAGCTGAAAGAGTTGAAAACAGCTGCCTCTGCAGAGCAGGACTGCAGAGTGAGGAGAGGTTGGGTCGGAGACTGTCCCTTTTCAGTAAGTCCTGTAGAACTATTTAATTTTAAAAATGGCCACAATAACTACAGAATCTATAATTCAAGAAATTGGATTAATGTGCAAATGGAAATTCAAAGAGCAAGTGATTAGGGGAGAACAAATATTTCTCTGTTCCTCTCATTTCCAAAGAGGGTAAGGAATTGCCACTCCACTCCGGAACGAGGAGACTTCAGGCTTCTTTCAGACTTGTAGCTAATTTACTGCCAGAAAAGTATAGTGACTTATCTGATTGGTGAGTTTGGAAAAAGCAAAAGAACATGGTAGGTTCAGCCCCTTCTGGGCAATCTTTGCTTATATTTTTGGAGGCACCCTGCCTGCAGAACTGTTGGTCTCGGCTCCTGTGTACAGTGAGCCTGGTGGGGACGGAAGGGTAGTGGGCAATCCTATAGTTATACATGTGGGTAGGTGGGCAAGTCTGGCTCATTCAGGGGTGAGATACTACTAAGCTCGTTTGGTAACAGACCTAAAGCCATGTGCGCTAATCAGCTTTATCAGTTAATGATGCTGATATTTTGATCTCCGCTATCCATCTCCTACATCCCGTTCCTCAACCAGGTTCAGAACTTAGGAAGGGTAAAAGAGAAATGACCCTCTTCTCCAAACACATTCTATCAATCACCACAGAAACCACTCAACTGTGTGATCAAAATAATAATACACCATTAAGATGTGTAACCTTTTTTGTTGTTGTTCGAAAAATACGTATGCATAGAAAAGGTCTGAAAGATATATGCTTCTCTGTACTTTCTAGTTTTTCTTCACACATTTCTTAAGTAATAAAAATGTTCAGGGCGCCTGGGTGGCTCAGTCGGTTAAGCGACTGCCTTCGGCTCAGGTCATGATCCTGGAGTCCCGGGATCGAGTCCCGCATTGGGCTCCCTGCTCGGCGGGGGGTCTGCTTCTCCCTCTGACCCTCCTCCCTCTCGTGCTCTCTGTCTCTCATTCTCTCTCGCAAATAAATAAATAAAATCTTTAAAAAAAAAATGTTCAAACAATAGACTTAAGAATGAAGAGTAAAAGAATAATATAAAGTTACAGAGCATTGTTTCTTGGGATTCACAGTGGTATCTGGATGATTTCTCTAGATTGCCTTTGTATTCATTCACCATCAGATTCTTATATTTGGTAAGCTTAGGAGAGCTTTGAAGGAAACACTACCTATGTGTCCAAAAAAGTTGGATCATATCTGGTACTCTAAAGAGAGAAAATAGAGAACGGAAGAACCGCAACATTCAAGTTTAGTTCCTATGCTTTGATGAAGTAAAAAATCACATAATTATGTAAAATGACATCCATGCTGCCACAGCAAAACAATTTTCCATTATTTAATAACTTACTTCCATTTCCTTATCAATTGATTTCTCTTCCATTTCTTGCATTTCAGATACATTTTCATCTGAAGCGATTTCAGGAGCTGTTGGCAATGATATTTCAGCTATTTGCTTAAGATTAGATAGTTTCTCATGAATTGAAATAACTCTAAAAATAACAGATAAATATGTATTTTACTTGAAAAGGTAAGAAAGGCATTCGTTTATTCCCAGAATCAATAATATGTGTAAAGTAAGTCCTCAGTTATTTAACACTTGGATTTCTGGCATTCCCAAACATCATTCATTCAATCATTTGTTCATTCAAGAAACACGAGCAAAGAGACACAATTCTAACCTGAATAATGTTTATGATCTAGTTATATACTCAAATAGATATAAAATGACTGGCAGAGGCACAATGACAGAAAGGCACACATCCAAAATATTGCTTAAGATGAAAATAAAGAAAATAAAACATCTATGTGGGCAAAGAAAGTCCAGGCAATGACAAAGTTTGCTCCTGTGTAAATCTTAATGCCATTTGATGACTGCCTTGATGACCTGAAGGTAAGAATTATGGCAAGATAGGCATCGTTCAAAAAGGCCAGTCAATGAGCCCACAACAATGAAGTATACTGTAGAGGGGAGAGGTGAAAGGGTAGGGAGAAGAGTCAAGAAAGAAGGAAAATCAAAAGCCAAGAAGGAAGGCAGAGGACACAGTGGCAATTATATTGAAGAGGGAAAGCTTCTGGAACCATAGGCCAGTGAGCAGGGGATACTCTGAAGGCAGAGGTAAACCAGCGGATGAGTGGAGTCAGGAGATGGAAAAGCATTTGCAGCAGCTGAAGGAGGCAAAGAGCCACCTGCATGGCCTTCCGTGATTCTATGCTACAGGCATAGCACACGTGTGCATGCCTGTGTGTTTGTATCCATGTGGGTGTCTCCATCCAGGGAAAGAGGGAAACTTTTATGAGAAAGACACAAACGATCCGTGAAAGCAAACTGACATCAGGAATGTATGCAGGAATGTCAATCCTCCAATGTTCCACAGGGTCCTCATCTGCAGTATGGCATGATATTCAATTATCATACTGATGGTTCTCAGCAAAAGAAGGTTAAAAAAATACCTTTAATTAAATAAGAGGATCTGAAATTGTATGTTTAATAAATGATTCTATTTAAAAAGGCAATGATTAAAATGTAAAGATCTGTTATTAAAAGTTTACTTGGAATACATCCATTAAAAAAATGGGTCATCTCCAATAGTGCTAGAAAAGCTGCCTGATGCACTGGAGAAAAAATAGGACTCAAAGGACCTGGGTGAGTCATGCTTGGTTCCACCACACAACAGCATGGGACCCTGGACAAGTCACCTAACCTCTCTGGCCCTGACATTCCTCCTCCTGCAAGACTGAATGATAAAACCCATGTCATCTACTTCACAGCATTTTGTAAGGACAAAATGAGGTATCTACATACATTCTTAACCATAAGAAACCCCATGAAGGAAAGATGATATTCTAAACCACTATTCTTGATTCTAATACCCAGAGAAAGAATTCTTAGAATTCTTACTTCTCTTTCAAAAATAATATAGCTTTCCTTTCTAACATGTGGAACTGCAGGAAGGATAAACTATTCTTTGATGTTTGCATTTCAGGTGGTCAATAAATGTCCAGAGCTGCATTATTTGCTTCACAAATAAATGGCCTGGTCCAACTCTGTAAAAAGTAGGCTGGGACCAAGCAGAGCAGGCTGGGCACCCATGCAAGGAGCAACATCAGAGGACCTAGCATCTCTGCTTCGGGCCCTGAGCCTCATGACTCCATTTGCCCCAACATCTTGCCCATATACATCTTCACCTCTCTGTCCACATCAATGCTGGGTCCAGCCTTTGAACTCCCATGTTGGCCCACAAATATCCATTTGGGCTAGACCAGCTCCCCCCAGCCTCTGCTTTGATTCACTGATTCATGGGCACTCACTCTCCTGGGCTGCCGGGGCCTGGAGGCAGGACCCAGCCAGAAGTAGAAATGTGTGCATGGCAGGAGACTCGAAGGCAGAGACAGTAGGTAGGGAACTAGATCTTGGTTAGAAGAGCGTAATTAGATAGAACTACACAGAAACCTTTATGCGTGTTTAATGAGAACATTCTCTTTTCCTTTGTTGCTGTAAGAAAAATGCAAAGAATGTTTTCCTTGTAGTATTTAATTTGGAGATTAGGAAGTGAAGTGAACAATTGAAGGAGGACTGCCCAATTTGAAGGTTATTCAGGTTCCTTCTCGGGCCTGTTTTTTCTGACCTGTTGTACTCTTACTTTGCCTTCTGAAAGATGGTCAACAAGAAGCAAGTCCCCACATGCTGATCTCACCTTGACCCTCCTAAGAGCACAAGGAGTGCCAGCCTCAGTGAGAGAAACAGGCAGCCGTCCCCGTGCCACCGAGGGACAGGTTAGATGAGAAACTGTCAGGCACCTCCTTCTGTGTTGGCTCAGTGACTGTGCACGTCCCTAATTTTAGTAAACCTACCATGCTCATAAACACATCTAAATTAAGAACTTTTGGGAATAAAAAAGAATTCTGTCAGTTTGATTACATTCTACTCTGCAGAAATTATAATCATTTTCATTATGTGATTCTAAAAAATAAATCCTGCCATGTTTCTGGGTACAAAGCAAGTGTGTAATTTCCTAACTTTGTTGCTTAGCTGTGCTGTTATATGTCCTATGCCTAGATTTTCTGCCATTTCACTGAAAAAGAAAAAAAAAAAAAGGAAAATTGACTGAATAATTGAAAATGTGCCAGCTCTTGAAACATCTCTTGTTTTATTCTCTTTTATGGTGAGGCCAAGAAGTCCTTCAAAATGAAAATCATGGAGCATGAACAAGGCTCGTCAGGGAAGAAGAGAGAAGCACCAAGTCTCTGTTCACTAAGCACTTACGAGGTGCCTAGCAGGGCAAAGAGCTAACACTGACAGACACAGGAGTCCATAATGAGACTTGACATCTGTCCAGTGCTTTTGGCCTTTCAGAGTATGTGCATACATTGTCCAGTTTGATCTTAACAACAACCCCAAGAGGCAGGCAGAGTAGATATTATTTCCATTTTACAACTGAGGAAATGGAGGCTGAGATCACAAGGGCAATGAACAATGGAATCAAAACTAAATTAACTAAGCAATGAAAAAATTAAAAAAATGAACTGGGAATCTGGTAAAGTGAAATGGAAAAGAGAGAAACCAGGCATGAGCAAAAGTTAGAGATATGCCCCGCTTGATGGAGAGGAAGGAAGACAACCTGGCTGAGGCAGAGACTTTTGACGTGGTGAACAATAAAAAATAGGATCAGACACAGGGGAAGGGTGGGACAAGATAGGTAGTGGAGTTTGTCCTTAATATTGCAACCCAATACAGAGCCGCACGTTATTTGTTAAACACACCCCAAATTACCGGCAAAATACAGTACAGACAATATCTTTGTACTCCTTATAATCTTTATGAAGTGTCAGGAACTGTTTCTGCAACAACTCTAAGTACTATTATTGTTATACCCACTTCATTGATAGGGAGACTGAGGCACAGAGAGGTTAAGTAACCTGCTTAAGTTTGTGAAGTTAGTAAGGGGCACCACTTGCATTTGAACCAAAGCGGACTGGATTCAGAGTTCATGCTCTTAACCACTGCCATATCATACTCCTCTAAATAAAAGGAAGATTCTTCTAAAAAAGTCTTCTAAAAGTTCTTCTGTGATTTACCTTGTACATTACAAAACAGCCTGTTCCAATGAAAATATCAGCAGAGTTGTGGAAAATCATTCATTACTTGCCTGTTCAGTGGAACCCAGAAAGAGCCAGTATAGACATTGCAATAAGTGCTATTAGGTACAGCATCTGAAATATTCTGGGGCTTCATGTTATATGCATACAACAATAAAACCTATAAAAAATTAAAATACATAAAATGTGATATCAAAATTACATTTTGCCTCAAAATAATATCATTAAATTTTAAGAAGTTTGTCTTTGAAAGACAAAACAACTTTTTTATCAATTCACTTTAAACAATTCTTTTTAAGTAGGCTTCGTGCCCAATGTGGGGCTTGAACTCACAACCCTGAGATCAAGAGTCACATGGTCTACCAACTGAGCCAGCCAGGTAACCCTCAATTCACTTTAAAGAGGAATGATACGGGATGTCTGGGTCTCTTAGTTAAGTGTCTGCCTTCCCCTCAGGTCATGATCCCAGAGTCCTGGGATCGAGTCCTGCGCTGGGCTCCCTGCTCCACAGGGGGCCTGCTTCTCCCTCTGCCTCTGCCTCTGCCTCTCTCTCTGTCTCTCATAAATAAATAAAATAAAATCTTAAAAAAAAAGAGGAATGATATGAATGAGAATTGTACGAAGTTTGAGGTGAAAATAAATGTCATTTGATAATAATATTATATTATTTTCAAAGAGTGCCATTTCTTACGGCAATTAAGTTTAAATCTCAGCCTTCGAAGGCCCTCTATAAGTTGGAAATATGTACCTAGGAAATACCCAGGCTTGCTTCTAGTTACTTCTCAACACACCCCTTTCCCATCGGTGGTCTAGCTGCTTCTGTGCCTCACTTACGCTGCTTCCTTCCTCTTTCCATTTATTCAACCTACACACAACTTTCTGGTCCCCACCTCTAATGTGGAACTTTTCCTAATGACTCATGCTCTGGTCATTTCCCTGTTGTTTCCATTTTGACAACCCTTAAAGTCAATTCCATAACTATAGCACCTATTTACGGTCATAGTCACAGAATTTGAGATTCATAGAACCTTAGAGAGGATGTGGTCTAAGCCCCTCATTTTAGATATAAGAAAGCTGAGGCCCAGAGCTGCCCGTCAAAACTGACTAATTAAGTGCATGCATTTATCTCTGCTTCCTTGATAATCAAACTAAAGTAAGAGTAAAGTATGCCTTTAAAAAGGCATAAATCTACAAAGACAGACAAGAAGAGAGGAGGTAAAGCAGACAGGAGATGTTAGCAACCCTTTGAAGGACAGAAAGTACTCAGAAGAGCACTGGGTGACTCAGAAAACAGGAAAGGCTGTGTCCTAACTGCCTTCAGAGGGGTCACCAACAACAAGCGTGACTGAGAGCCCTGGAAAGGCTTGGGAACTGCAGATGTCAGGTATCTTAGACAACCTCCCTCCCATCCCTTTGATGAACCCATGCAACCAGATTTCCCCACTTCCCTTGCCTCCTCTCTGGCCAAACCTCTCCCATTTTCCTCTCTGCTGAGGCTAAATCAGAGATCTATTCTCAGGGACATTAGGTACAGGGGTGAGATGCTGAACTGAAAACACTGGAGGGGGTGCCTGCGTGGCTCAGTTGATTAAGCATCCAATTCTTGGTTTCAGCTCAGGTCATGATCTCACGGTTGTGGGACTGAGCCCCACATCAGGCTCCACACTCAGCAGGGAGTCTGCTTGAGGATTTTCTCCCTCTACCCCTCCCCCCACTCATGCACACTCTCTCAAATAAATTTTTAAAAATCTTAAATTAAAAAAAAAAAAGAAAACATTGGAATTAAGTGAAAGTCTGTGTTCTGAACAAGAGACAGCTCCTACCCCACTGCAGGCCCTGCTCGGGATGTAGGAAACCAGACAGAAGTTGAAAAGGATCCTCTTTGAGGAAACCGACCAGACAAAGAGAAAAGACCTATGGGTACTGACATTTCAGCATCCTGCAACGAAACCGTTGGCTCCTGCAGTTACCCTACAATGAGGTCTATAAATCAATAAGTCTGACCTGATACACTTTTTAGCACCTTCAAACATGAATGAATAACCAAGGGTCACTAGACATGAAATGAAAGATAGAGGCCAAAACTAATATAAGAAAGGAACTTGAAGAGTCAGGTATAAGACAGAGAGCAGAAGACAACTTCAATGAAACCATAATTGAGATCTTCAAACAGAATAAAGACAATATTTCATCCATGAATCAAGAACACAGTGCTGTTAAAATGAATAGACAAAAAGAGCTCTTAAAAACAAAAACATGATCACAACAACTAAATAATCAACAAAAGAGTTGAAATATAAAGTTGAATATATATCTCCCCAGAAGTAAACCTAAATTTTAAAACATAGGTAATAGGGGAGAAAAGATGAGAAAAATACTCAATCTAATAAATTCAATATCTGAATAATAATTCTAGAAGCTATAGAGATAATCAGAGGTGGGAAATTATCAAAGAAAAAAATTCTTCTTGAACCAAAGGCTATACTTTCCAGATTGAAAGGGGCACAATGGATGAAAGAGCTAAACCAAGGCTCATGATGGAATCTGAGAACACAGGGGACAGAAGGAAAGTCCCCAGAGCCTCCAGAGGAAAAAAATCAAAAGAAAGAACTAGGAATCAGAATAGGACCAGACTTAACAGCAATGCAGGATTGCCAGAGATAATGGAGCAATGTCTCCCATGTTTTGAGAGAAAATAATTTTCAACCTAGAATTGTATGCCTAGAGAACAATGAAGTCAGCACTAAAAGATGACTTTTTGTCATCATAAAAAGACACTCAAGGTCTTTTTATATTCTGTGTAAGTACAGGGTCAATCTCAGTCAATCTGTTGCAACCTGTTAGCCTCTCAGGGGACTGTAGTCAAGGTGTTGGCCCTTGGCCAAACCTGAATGAAATGTGCTACCTACTGACTAATGCAGTCCTGTCCTTGGCTCTGAAACACACCAGGAGGCAGCCTGTGCCATCTTGTTAGCATTTTTTTGTAGAAAATATACATATTGATGATTTGCATCTGGATTCTATTGTTCTCTTAATTTCTATCACTGAATCTGGTCCCACACATGGTTTTGACTACATGAAGAGAGAGGTATGAAAGACTCCTCCTCGGATGAGACATCAGTGTTCTTGAGACCAAGATATCTTAACATATTTTGGTGGTTCATGATCTGTAGAGGAAGTGTGTCCTGTGCAACTGAGCAAGGACCCTGGCAACTGTTCCTGAGCATCTTGGATCCCTCTAATGGTTATCTGTGCTTACTTTATCCTGCCATGCCTTATCCTTTACCAAAATCTTCCTCGAATTACTTTGTGGAATATATTATATGGTGTGTCCTTTGAATAATCAGAACCTCTAACACACCCTTTGTTGGGAAGCTGGAAATGTGTTCATTCAACATGGGAGAGCAAGTCAAGATAGAAACATGGGACCCAGGGAACCCATCTCAGAAAGAGATGAAGGAATTCTCAGGAGGATGGTGAATGGGCTCTTATGAAGTTATTTGAGTCAGGAGAACAATCAATCCCATTTGGAGCGTGTCTCTGAAGAAAACAATAAAAGGATGAGAAATAAACTGATGAGTTTGACCATATGGAGAAGAACTGTATAGTTCTTTGAAAGTTTAGGAAGAATGAGAGATTCTAGAATACGGAGAACACCAAGTTAAACAAAAATAAAGCAGTTTTTTTTTTCTTTAGGATAGAAGTCAGGAAGGGAGGAAATAGTACCTTATTTGGCTCAGCTGTGAGTGATATTTACATAGTTGTAAACACTGGCTATGGGTTTAAGAATTGTGATAGGACTCATTTAAGAGAATGTGTGGAAGAGAAGAATGTATGTGAGGGGGAAAAAACAGGTAGACATTAGCCTTCATCCTCCATAGTAGTGTGTGAGGTTCATCACTCAAAGAATTATCATGTAAGCATGTAATTTAGATATACGGAGGGGGTTGAACCCAACCAAACAGAGACAGCAAGAGTTAAAAGTAATTTTATCTGGGGGCGCCTGGGTGGCTCAGTTGGTTAAGCGACTGCCTTCAGCTCGGGTCATGATCCTGGAGTCCTGGGATCGGGTCCCGCATTGGGCTCCCCGCTTGGCGGGGAGTCTGCTTTTCCCTCTGCCCCTCCCCCCTCTCATGCTGTCTCTCTCTCTCATTCTCTCTCTCTCAAATAAATAAATAAAATCTTAAAAAAAAAAAAAGTAATTGTATCTGATGGTGGAATTTAGGGATGTGGACAGCTAGACAGAGGAATGTTCTTTTCATTCATTAAAAGTCTTTTAAATTTGGTTTTTCAAACTATGATAAATTTTTGATGACACATTTCTGAAAGGAAAATGAAATGAGTCCCAGAGAGGTTAGTCTGTCTTACGGTGTTTGCTCTTGTTTTGTGTTTGTTAACCTTGACTCCCAGGCTAGCATACAAAATCCCCGTGGACACGAGAGACATCTTGTACTTTTTTAGTAGTGCTCGTAGCACTTGCTACATGTTAATTAATATCTTCATATCTCTGAAATTTTCATTACATCTCTTAAGAGCTAATGAAGCTCCCCAAAGCGTGTTAGTGGAAAAATTTAAATAGATAACATACTTTATATTTAACCCCTGATAATGAAAATGACTTTCTCCCTCCTCAGGCTGACACTTGTCAATGGCTTTGCAATACAATTTTAAAGCCTTTTCTAACTGAGCATGGCACAACTGAATTCAAAGTATAACAGTTGGAAATCAAACTGGACTTGGATAAAATACGGCAGTAGATAAACAACAAAACACTAAACTCACTTGCATATTTGTTGTGAGCCTGGGCTTTGGAGCCAGAGTGCCTGGGTTTGCCTCCACCATTTACTGGCTGTATGATCTGGGCAAATTATGAAAACGCTGTGCCTTCACTTCCCATTTGTAAAATGGAGATGCGGTAATCCCCATCCCATGGATCATGTGAGGATTCAGTGAGTCAATGTGAAGTGCTTAGAGCATCACTGCTGTGCTTGTGAGCCTCATGACCACTCCTGGCTCCTCACCCTAACTTGCTTGGTACCTCACTCTCCATATTCTTTTAGACTCACTGCTAACCCCAAGCCAGCTTTCTGTCTGACCTCCCAGGTTGTCCTCATTGAATCCATGTGCTTAGTTCTATTCCCAACTTGTCCTCACTCCTCA